AAAAATTGGCACCCTTCAAAAAAATCTGGGTTAATATACATACATGTTTCCTTTTCCTAACCACTATGTATTTCAAAATCTAACACTTAGAGAATCTAAAATAAATATGCCAATTAAAAAGAGCATTTAAGAAAATGTACAAAATATTCTTCATTGTTCCATTGCAGATTAAATTTAATTTGTGGTCATAGGTAAAAATGTGAGCAGATGTTTATAAGGCATTACAATAAATGCAGAAAAAGGGTATTATTTCCATATGACTGCTACAATAGAAATCTGTATTGAATTTAACAGTCTTTACCATGACAGAAACAAAAACTACAGTAGACATAGTATATTAATACATTTCACCTGCTTCAAGCTATTCGTTATGAAAACTAAATTAATCCTACCTATGCAATGCTTGGATTGCCAATTATCTGGTGAGGGAAAATTCAATGTTATCTATACTGATTCTCTTTAGTATCCACACATTCATTTGCATATGTAAGCCATTCCTATCCATGCCAAGATGTCTCTTGACAATCAAATTATAATGAAAATATTTACTGTTTCTCTCTTCAATATGGAGCCCACAAAGAATATGTTTAATTCACTTATTTGTAAGATACAAATCAGACAATTGGGGAAGAAGGAGGAATGATTTTAATGTTGATAATTCAACACATGATTAAATTCAAACACTTAAATATTTTCAGTTTTAAGGGCATTCGTTAGCATATAAGTACTTATGTACACTGAAAACAGGGTCACTTACACTTTCTTTAAATAATTTAAAGTTGTTTTATCCCTATGTCTCAGAAGATAGTTTAGCTAAAGTTAAATGTACCCTAGGTTGTTTTGAGAGCTTTGAAGTCTGGCTCTAAAATATGGCTTAACAACTGATATGCTGTCTTGTTCTTATGTATAGCAGTTTTCTTTCATTTGTTTCTTAATAGCAAGGAAGAGTTCAAGCAAGCTTATGAAAAGGCCATTTCGATATGTATCTTCTTGGCAAGTTAAAAATGTTTAATACTACTTAAGGCTTGACATTTAGATACTGACTATGGAATAAACTGCCATACAAAGAAAAAAAGGGCTTTTAAAAGAATTTCACACAAAGATACTAACTTTAGGATGTTAAGATCTGCTTTAGAAGGATTAAGAGGAAATAAATTCAAATTCTCTTTTATCTTTATATTATTTTATAATTTCAAAATAAGTTAAATTTACTATCTGATATTTTTCTATGTTATAATAGAAACTTATTTATGAGAACTTATTTATGCTGAATCAACCAGACCAGATTGGAGAATTCAGGCACCCCAGTTCTTATTAGATCTTCTCAATGGTGAAGTCTCAGAAGCTCTGGTTTCGTTAATGGAACAAAGTTTCAAAATTAAAATGACCAGTATCAAATTTATTTTACAGGTTAGAACTAGACTTATTCTTGACACAATATCATACAGAAATAAACTGATATGCCTACGGTTTTAACTTTACTTGTGTGTTCTGCTCTCTAGTGAACCACATTAGATACTGAATTTGAAATGCTGCTCTAGCTAAGCCTCTTCAAAATAGATACAATGAAGGAAATAATTTTGTGGAACAAAAGTGTTTTTAATAACACAATGAAATAAAATGGAATACCCTTCCTAACACACAATAGAATTAAAAGAAAAAAGACATTAACACAATGAGGCCAATTTTTGTGAGGAGATAAGCAATGCATTATATTTTAAACTTACCACAAGAGCAAAGAACACCATAAAGAAAAATGATAAACTACTTGTGTAGCCAAGAAAGCCTGTAAAATAACAGTAAAATAAAAAGCAATTTATAAGGAAAGTGATTTTAACGTACTACTAAAGCTATACATCTTGGGCATGTTTTCTATTATGGTGCTTGGTATCTGGGGCTTAGGGCTCAGAATAACAGCATTCCAACTATCTGTCACAGATCATTTAAGCAGCTCTGTACAGCAGAATTGGAACTGGCTTACCACTAATGGTACACTGTAAGGAAAGGCTGCTCTTTAATGTTCTGCTGTAAAGATTTTATTTTAGTGGGGCAGACAAAATACTACTGCAAACCAAGTAATAGGTTAACTAGGCAGGACTGAAGGCTGAACAACCTAAAATAAGGCCAAGTTCAAAATTATTCACAACCACCACCCTTCTGCCAAAAATATGGTACTGTGAAATTTAAAAGCCCCTTAATATTTCTCTCTCTCTCTCTGCCTCCCTCCCATTCCTCCCCACACCCTCCCTGCCTCCCTCTTTCTTTTTTCTAACAAACTATGTGCTCTTTTATAAAGACTTACCTATTTTGGGAAGAAGTGCAAGAGGGAACACAATACCAACACAAATGACTATTAGTAGTATTTGTCCATCAAGATACCAAGACCTATTAGGAAAAAAGTTCTATTTTAGGCCCAGGACTCGTGTTTGTTCTTACACACACAGACACACACACACTTACAATCATTATAACTACCCATTAGGAAAAGCCTACTTCCTTTTGTTACAATGTTCTTGTGGGATCCTATTATTCTTATAAATGAATTTACATTTAGAAAATTTATCAAAATGGTGAGATTCCATTTTCAACTACCAACTTAATAAATATTTAAAAATAAGAGAACAGGAGTGATGAGGAGTGCCAAAAAAAAAAAAAAAACGCAAAACAGTGAAAGTATAAACTATATAAATTATATGGCTGGAAAGCAATTTGGTAATAAATACAGAGGACCTTCAAATAATTATACCCTTTAACATTGAAAAAGACTATTAAAAATAAAGAAACAATAAGAACAAAGATTTTTGTAAAAAGATGTTATTGAAAACATTTAAAATAAAAGTGAAAACACCTGAGATTATGATAATTTTGAAATAACAATATAATTTTCAGTAAACATCATGTGTGTGTATATAGCATGATAATCTTGAGGAAAAACACAGGTACGTTAAAAATGGAAAGGAATTACAATATATTGATAGGCATTATCTCCGGGTGGCAGAATAATGG